CTAGGACCGAGGCATAGAGCTAGGACCGGGTCAAAAGGCTAGGACCGAGGCATAGAGCTAGGACTGAGTCATAGAGCTAGGACCGAGTCATAGAGCTAGGACCGAGGCATAGAGCTAGGACCGAGGCATAGAGCTAGGACCGAGTCAAAGAACTAGGACAGAGGCATAGAGCTAGGACCGAGTCAAAGAACTAGGACCGAGTCAAAGAACTAGGACCGAGGCATAGAGCTAGGACTGAGTCAAAGAACTAGGACCGAGTCATAGAGCTAGGACCGAGTCATAGAGCTAGGACCGAGTCAAAGAACTAGGACCGAGTCAAAGAACTAGGACCGAGTCAAAGAACTAGGACCGGGTCATAGAGCTAGGACTGAATCAAAGAGCTAGGACCAAGTGACAAAGTTAGGGTAATGCCATAGACAAAGAACTAGAGCTAGGATGATGACAGAGGTTGCACTATGACAAAGAGCTGGGACTATACCAAAGTGCAAGGACAGTAACAGATGTCGGACAATGCCATAGAGCTTGGACAATCCCATAGTGCTTAGACTATGGTAACAAGTTATAAACAATGACATTGATACACAGTATCATCATACACCCAAGACAATGACAAAACTGAATGAAGCCATCCTGCTATGTAATAGAGATGTAGGACTGACTGACTGACTGAGTTTGGTTTTACGCCACTTTTAGCAATATTCCAGCAACATCACGGCAGGGGACACCAGAAATGGGCTTCACACAATGCACCCATGTGGGGATTCAAACCCGGGTCTTCGGCGTGACGAGCCAACGCTTTAACCACTAGGCTACCCCACCGCCCAGAGATGTAGGACATGTATAAAGCTGCATATAATAAGCACTGTATTTGCAGCAGATATAGAATTCCTATGTTCCCAAATACTTCCAGCTGTTAACAATATAGCTCTGTTCTTTTGCAATGTACGATTGCTTTGCAAGCATTCCATCAAAAGGATGAGATAAAACATACCCCAACCTAACCACACAGATAAGCCGTGTGTTGAGGAGCCGCCCATCCAGCTGTGATGGATGACGAATGGATGAAAGATGTGTCGCTGATGTCATAAAACTGCCTGAGGCATGCTCCAGTTCCTGTGACCCCCATCACCAAGGCATTCACTACATCAGGAACATTCATCATAAACTAACATCCAGATAACCTCAGCTGCAGGAAACATAATTCATATATCATAAACTGCCCCGCCCACTTGAGCTGCCAAGGTCCACGACACTGCATGTACAAATCAGGTGTCTTGCAGTCTGGAGATAAAACCTACGGGGATAAGATCTGGCGCTGGTACACATCCAAGCTTTCTTTCTTTAATCTAACTCATCTACCTGGCATAGATCCCTCAGTTAGTCCTGCTCTATGGCGTTAGAACATCAGTTACATTTAGAGTTTACACACTTTAATGATATGGGTGCCACATATTCCCTGCAGAGGTATATCAACACAGAAAGTTTACATTCAGATCACAAATATATTACTATTATGTCCATACATGCACCTACAGAATCAGCTTTCAATATGACAGAAAATGCCTGACCAACTTTACATATACTTTCATACTTTCTGAATCAGTGCCAAAGAAAAAACTTGGAAAATTATGAAAAAGAAGATGTGAAAAATGTTTTCCTTCTAAAATTGATTAAGATAAATTCAACACTAAAAAATTAAATTAAAATTATTTAACAGAAATGTTTTCTAAAGAGCCTCATTTGTGTCAAAACAATAACATAGTGCTGGCTTATACACACATTTCAGGAACAAATATACAACTGTCACCCTGACTGAAGGATCTCAGAACTGTATCTACACATATCATGGAACATCTGACAAGGAGGAAGAAGCAATATGATGAAAATGAGAGAAAAAACAAATAAATTTGTAAATAAAACAAAAACGTATGGTCAAGCTTGTGATAATACTGCAAGCTATATACAGATTCCTTGTGCACATAGGGATGTCATTGTATATCGTGCACCTCTAAATGTTTAATGAAACAAATTTATAAATATTTTTATACTACACTAAGAATCAACTGCCACAGAAATGTTGAGATTAGTTTACATTAATCTGGTTAGGATGGACAATAAAAAGTCCAAAAATATACATTTTCATTTCAACATTGAGAGGATCCAGCAAGTTCATATTTTCTATGCACTTGATTGACTGCAGGTTTGGATAGGAGAGTGAGTGAGAGAGTTGGGTTTTATGCCGGTCTGAGCAGTATTCCACTTTCATTATGGTGTTTAGATAAGACAGCGTCCAGATAAAGTTTTGACCCTACAGAAGAGCTAATTTTGCTACTGACCTGTCAATGCTGTACATTACAGTCGATATATAAACACAAACATTTCCAATCAATGACACCCCTAATCACATATGAGAACAGGTAACAGAATGTAATCAGTATCACAATAATCATAATTTGATTAACTATGGTAATATACAATGGTTGCAGGAATGTTATTAATCGTTATCGTGCACTAGCTCCGCAGCACATACATTAACTGCTTTCAGTGTCGTGTATAACAGCTATATTACCCTCTAACACAATGTACTACCGTATTCGCTGTCTAAAAGCCCCCTGCTCGAATAAGCACCCTCTGACCAACTTCTAGACCAATCTGTACATAACCCTTATAAGCCCCTATTATAATAAAAGTGCACAGGTTAGTCAATATTTGCATATTTATGACAGATCTGCAGCAGAAAACCAAAGAGTGGAAGGGTTATTAATTAATTATAATATAACTATTTTGGATAGAAGTGCTAGTATCACTGATGTTTGAACTAAGGTAATCCACTTCCGTTGATCGCAAAACAACTCCATAATACACCCCCCCAATATTCTGAGCAAAAGTGTCGTTTATGGCGAATACGGTATGTCAAATATGATATGACACCATCACAGGTATGCATTAAAGACCAACCACACTCTCCATCTACACGAGTATGAGATAAACCATGATTATTATTCCTTCTCCAAAAAATGGTCAAACTAAAGATTATACACAATAGTCATAAATGACTTGAAATACACAGTGGGAAATAGCACAGCCTTGTCTTGAGGGAGTTTACCGTTCACTTGGGTGTTGTCAACGGTTACGGTGCAGCACTGGAAGTACCAACATCTGTTATCACATAGTCATGGATCTCATATTCGGGATAAAAAGTGAGTGAGTGGATTGTACGGATTAATCTGAATCAGCAGTATTTCAGCGTTACTAGGACTTTACATAATGGACTCTGAGTGAGTGAGTTTTTGTTTTACAGTGCTTTTCACAATGTTCCAGCAAAATCACGGCGGGGTACACCAGAAATGGGCTTCACACATTGTACCCATGTGGGCAGTCGGGTCTTGCTTGATTTAGAAATAAAATAGCTCCATAACAAGAGTGGTAGCATTATTGTTCTGAGATACAAATTGTCCAGCTTTGTTCAAGAACTGACTTAAAGATGACTCGTGTCATATCTTGACAGTCACAAGGTCAATAGTGATCCTGGATCATAAACTTGAAGCTTTAGCACAGATACACATTCAGCACCTCAAGGGAGGTGAAGTACAGTATTTGCTGTATTAAGCCTGTATCGGACACACCTATGGACCAATATGAAAGCAATCCTTACAATCATCTGTACAGACTGAAAACTTCCACGTCTTTACTTCAATATCAAAAACATATTTTCGTCTTTACTTCAATATCAAATACATATTTTCAGGAAACTGAGTAAAAAGGGCATATAAATTCCAAATTACCATTACCAAAACAATTTTCTTTTTCAATGACATTTGGACAAACTTGATCACTACTGCTCGATATCTGACAACACATTTAACAAGATTGTAATGACAAATCCGGTAGATCCATTGACAACACCCCTGGTGACAGTCCCAGTCATTGGTACTGACTAGTGTAAGACCATCTACAGCTGCGGAACAGACAGCGGTAAACTAGTACCAAATGTTACAAATCAAACACTTGTGGAATGCAGTGTACGCCTATCAGGTATTTTAACTGTTTTAAGATGAAGTACAAATTTAGAAGGTACCAGAGCTGGTTTCATAACCTGGTACCAATTAGGGGGAAAGTCTGTGTATCCATAGTTTCCCTAACACAAGAGCAGAGTCCTCAATGGTTCTTGTTAGAACCACATGTTCTGACATTTACCACTCACTTTTAACAACGACATGCCATGTTATTAAAAATTAAGGTGCATGGCCTTGTTCCACAAAACTGTCTTAGCGCTACGATGATCGTAAGCCTATCTTGTTTCACAAAGCTGTCTTAGCGCTACGATGATCGTAAGCCTATCTTGTTTCACAAAGCTGTCTTAGCGCTATGATGATCGTAAGCCTATCTTGTTCCACAAAGCTGTCTTAGCGCTACGATGATCGTAAGCCTATCGTAACGTAATGGAGTTAGGATCACCTTAGTGTTAATATCGCTTTGTGGACTGACTGAGTTTAGTTTTATGCCGCTTTTAGCAATATTCCAGCAATATCACGGCGGGGGACACCAGAGATGGGCTTATCGCTTTGTGGAACTAGCCCCAGATGGGGATCCAGTTTCGTATCTCCTGGAGCATTATGTGTACTCTAAATGGTCCAGAATGACGTGTACAGATCTCTTTGTAAAATTGAAATGCACTTGTACATCTAGTAGACTGTCACATAAACGAAAGAATAATTCGTTGGAATGGTTTTAGACTTAGAATATGCATGTCTGTTCCATAGGTGTGATGGGTTTTGACATGCACATTCCCTCAGTGTCCCAACAACTAGAAATAGTCAGTTCAAAATGAAAACTTTAACAATCAACTCTACATTTACAGAGATTTGGGTCAACCAGTCTTTCCATGTAAGGTAGTAAGAGTTACCTCCCTTTGACATGATTAACCTTAAATCACAAAAAACAAGTATACTTCGTTTCTAATTTTCATTTTTTAGAATATTTCAAAGCATTTGATATTAGAAAATGTTTTTGAAGGGATTAAATATATATATGACCATGGTTAAGTTCAGGGACACAGAAGGAACACGGTGGATCAACTTGAAATTTAATCTTTCTTGAGTCGTTGACTGGTCATCCTGTAGATGATGCTGTCCACGCCGGGGTCCATGTACCACATGCCGTAGACGATGGCATACACTGCGATGGCCAGAACCAGCATCAACCACAGGACGATGTTGAAGATGGCAGGGTACTCCTGACTGTAGTCATCTGCCAGATTCAAATTGTTCGAGGTTGGCTTCTGTAAGAAGAATATTGGACATTATACAGAAGTATGACTTTGACCCTTACATTGTTCTGTCTAGACCAGACCAGAGGCCAATATCAGGTCCCAAGTCTGCAGTAGACGTCAGTCAAATTTCCTTAATCAGCAACAGAAACTGACATTTTTACTCCACTATGCTTACGAACATGAAACATAGGAATACCCTTAAAACTGCCAAATTTCTAACAGACCCTATGATAAGTGAATGAATGAGTTGGGTTTTTATGCCGCTTTTAGCAATACATGTATTACAGCAACATCACCTCGGGGACACCAGAAATGGGCTTCACACATTGTACCCACGTGGGGAATCGAACCCGGGTCTTCGGCGTGACGTGCAATCGCTTCAACCACTAGGCTACCCAACCGCCCCCTATGATAAGTAACTGCAGGACTAGTGCCAACTTCTGTCTTTGAAACTGAGAATATAAACATTCTCAAGTAATATTAATCATGTATACTTATTACTTATGTCTTAATGTAGGGCAAGGTGACTGATATTTTACTGAAAGTATAAAATTTACAAAGTATTTAAGTTTACACTGATATTGCATTGAATACAAAATTAAGACACCTGTTAAATGAACAAAAAATAAAATAAAACATAAGAGAATAAAAGTTTTGAACCACACAACTTTACTATTTGCTGCAAAAAAGCACATAGTTCCAAATCCTCAAGAACTACTAGCCTCATTAATCACATTTCAAGGAACCGAGCCAAAGGTGATTTCGTGGATTCCTGGTTTTTTACCACAAACAACATGTCGTCTGATCACGCACATACTGACATTAATCAATTGCATGCAGTTTTATATACACAAGTCTACAACACGATAAACAACTCCCCAATTAATCAGATTTTGGCCCAGTCGTGATTCTCAACGTGTGTGTTTTGCTAATCATCTGCTGCCAGTAAGTTGGGCCACGCCTTCGCAGTGTTTATGCTTACCTGTACAGTTGTCAGTCTAAGATGACAACAGATTACCGGTAAATGTATCTAGTAATCAAATGTTAAATAGATGTTAAACGACTCGGCAAGGACCCAGTGAAATTATCTAGTTTTTTCTAGTGAAGTGGTGAGACTGCTTCAGAGCAGGTAAATACTGAAAAGCCTGCCTTTCAATAGTTCATGCTGCTGCAAATTGAGAGTGTTGTTTTTACTGTAACTAAAAACACTGGCCTGACACCTATGTCAATTAAAATTCTGTTCGGTCTAGTTAAATCAGTGAATGACGGTTCATGGTACGACACTCAACTCATCTGAATTCAATAATGAAACATATGACTGTATGCCTAACATCTTGTTTATTGCACAGAGCAACATTTCAGCATAGATTCTTACACCTTTATCAAACAAAAGTGAGACATCGCTCTGTACAATGAACAAAGTTGTTATCCTGAACATAACATGCTTCATTATTGACTCACCAACTTCTATAACACAGATCTAACAATAAAACAATCTACTGAGTTTGATGCTTAAAGCCACATTCAGGGCAGCTGACTCATAAGCACAGACTGTTAATATTAGATTGATTACAGCTATATCAAGGATGGCACATTGGTTGATCCAAAAGAGTGGGGTGGGGTGTTGGTGGTGAAGGTGGTGGGTGTGGGGGTGGTTTCAGGGGTTTAAAAAAAACCTTTTGAAAATGACTAAAGACCACATTGAAGTTAGTGTTTTGCACTGGTGGAGCCAAGGGGGGATTCAGGGGGTTTGAACCAACCCACTCCGTATCCGCCTTTGTGGGTCCACTGTAAAGGGTTTCACTCATTGTATCAGTGAATTGGGTCAATCCTTGGTCTACTTCCACATTAAGCTACACCATTATTAGCTGAAGTGGACATCCTGTATGTAGATCATAGAGCATGCAGCTCAGAGAGTGAAAGGTGGTCTGATCCCAGACACGTCTCAGCAAAACAGTGAGTGAGTGAGTAATATATTTCAGCAATATTTCAGCAATATCACGGCGAGGGACACCACAAATGGGCTTCACACATTGTACCCATGTGGGGAATCGAACCCTGGTCTTCGGCGTGACGAGCAAATGCTTTAACCACTAGGCTTCCCCACCGCCCCCTCCGCAAAAGATGTTTAAAGACGGTAGTTAAGGCTGCCCTTCCTGGCGTGAGGTATTAAAGCAAAAAACAGTGACTAGTTGTCTTGGAATCAGCAAATTCTGTTTGAAAAGGGTATCCATGTTCAGGTATGGTACACCAAAGCTCTAGCATCAAGGAACCAGCATTAGTTTAGACATACCATCACTAGTTTAGACTGACCATCGCTATATAACTGCAATAAGCACTAGGGCTGCAACGATTCGGTTCGATTCATCGAAAATCGAATCTGACATCTTAGTTTCGATTTTCGATAACCATTATCACGATTTTGATATGATATTTGAATACCTATTTAAATTATTTCACCACGAGGCTATTCCAAAACCCCCAAAGAGAGAAAAGAGTAATCACTATGATGAGAATAATTAGGCTGTGGTTGTTCAGTAATTCAAACCTTGCACACAAGGCAAATGCTATGATGATGCTGATAGATGCCACAGATATATCAAGAGTGAGTAAGTGAGTTTAGTTTTACGCCGCTTTTAGCAATATTTCAGCAACATCATAGTGGGGACACCAGGAATGGGCTTCACACCTAGTACCCACATGGGGAATCGAACCCGGATCTTCGGCATGATAAGCAAAAGCTTTAACCACTAGGCTACCCCACCGCACCTTAGGAATGTCGCACTGATGGCTATAAAAGTTAAACCAATTCTCAGAAATACATTCAAGTTAAAATTTAGACTAAATAGAGACTGTCACCTTGGTCAATTTTATTAGGTCAGCAAATTATTAAAAATCGTTTTCCTTGAACACTTTTGATAAGCATTGAGCATGCTGGAGGCATACAGGTCCGCTGCTGTGATACTGCTGGAATATTGCTGTGAGTGGAGTAAACATGGTGAAGGAGCCTTTATAATTAATGTTTGTTTGCTTGTTGTTTAATGCCACACATAGCACAGTCCAGCTATACAACAGCAGTCTGGAAATATCTGGGCCAGACTGAGTGAGTGAGTTTAGTCTTACGCCGCACTCAGCAATATTCCAGCTATATTGCGGCGGTCTGTAAATAATTGAGTCTGGACCAGACAATCCAGTGATCAACAGCATGAGCATTGATCTGCGCAATATCTGGGCCAGACATGCTAGTGATTGACATAATGATCATCAATCTCAGCAGTTGTGATATGACGACATGCATCACCTAAGTCAGTGAGTCTGACCCTGTCACCCACTGATACCATTAGTGAGGTGAGGTGAAATTGGGTTTAACGTCGTGCTTGAGAATATTTCACTCATATGGCCACGTGCATGCACGTGTATGTGTATGTGTGGCTGCTTGTACTAGCTGCTTGTACTAGACTTAAGCTGGTTTTATAGTGCTAGCCCACTGAGATACCACGCCGCAGTGAAGCATGAATACCCCACTCAGACACATTATACTGACTCCGAGCTGACCAGTCCTTGTTGTACCCATTAATGCCGAGCGCCAGGCAGGAACCAACAAGTACCATATTTTAACGTGTTTCGGTATGACGCGGTCGGGGATCGAACCCGCGACCTTCCGCTCTTCGGGCGGACGCTCTAACCAATACACCACGGAGGCGGTCGATACCATTAGTTGCATCCTTTGACAAGCATGGGTTGCTGAAGGTCAGTTCAAACCTGAATCTTCACAGGTCATCAAATTCATGACCACGAAAAGTTCTGTAAAGAACTCTTGAAATAAAATAAAGCTGCTGTAACAGCATTTTTAGAAGGCAAGATATCATACCTTTCCAAATATGATACCACAACAGCAGGTTTGGAAACATGATAATACACCACAGTCTACATCTACGGGGATCACATTTTCGTAACCCTCCACTAACCCCTGGATCCATTCCTGTGCTTCTTACAATCACAAATTACCTTCCCTTGACCTTGTCATTAACATTTCACCCTCGTCTTGGAATCTGCGAGTTTCATTCTTTTTGCCTCTCAATTAGATCACGTTGTGACGGAACTACTTTTTCATTCATAACAAACACGTGAATTCATTCATTCTACAACTTATATGAATTGTGGGAATGTAAACATTGCGAACGTTGCCGTATCGCTGTTTAATTGTCAGTCGAACTGAGACATTATATGCGTCGAAAAACAAATGCAAAGTTTCCACCAGTGATGTTATCCGAGTGTGCTACGGAGTAGTTTAATGTAGGAGGCTGTACGAGGCGATGACAACTGACATGTATCGTGACGTCGGTCATTACAGTGTGACATCATGCAAAAAGTGTACTACAAAACAACATTCTTCCGCAACCTCTTTATGAAACCGGTTTCAGTTTGAAAAAAACATAAAAATAACAAATATACGCTATTTTGTTATAATAATACAAATATAATAATATAAAGCATGTAAGACGTGGGTAATAAATATAATGGCACACTCGGTCTTATAACATACGAATTATACGAAACTCGGACATTCCTATGGTTTCTGACCTCGCTTTCACTAGGTCAGATACCATAGGAAGGACACTGGTTTTGTATAATTCGTATGGTAATGAGACCTCGTGTAGTATTCTCTATTTACAGAGAAACCATTTTAAGACATTGTTTCCTTCCATGTTTTGAAGGCTTTTTCTTGGTGTTGTGGATTCTTTCAATACTGAATTTGTTGGATCACAATCAATTCGACTGGCCACCATGTTTGTCCATATTGCCAACTCAATACTGAGGCTGGAACGTAAATTGCATTCAGGCTGCTACATTAGACCTTGTAGAGTACCTATCAAATTGTCAAATGGAAGTCAAGGGCAGGTAATTTGTGACTACAAGAAACACAGGTTTGTGCAGGTTTATGAAGATGATAGCCCTGGTGAGTGAGTGAGTTTAGTTTTTACGCCGCTTTTAGCAATATTCCAGCAATATCATGGCGGGGGACACCAGAAATGGGCTTCACACATTGTACCCATGTGGAGAATTGAACCCGGGTCCTCGGCGTGACAAGCGAAAGCTTTAACCACTAGGCTACCCCACCGCCCCTATAGCCCTTGAGATATCAAGGCTGACTATAATAAACATCAGACTAAAGCACCTTGCTTCTAGCTAACACAATTATGAAACTGCAAACAATTCCCATCTATGGCATTTCTAAAGTTTTCAAGATTTCTGACCAACAACACTGAACAACATTGACAGTCCGTGTTGACCACTTACACTGGGTGCTGGAGTTGTAGCCATGAGACTGCGGACTTTACGGACATGTCCCTTCTCTGGGGCGGCACTGAGCACCTCCACCACAACATTATCCTTGTACAGCGACTTGAAGTGATCAGTCACCTGGAACACAAGCAAGCAACTGTTGTCATAGCAACCAGAACTCATACAGGTGATAATATCTAAAGATCAACATGATCAACAACTTTAGCCTGAATGGCATCAATAAACAAGCTAAAGACTCATCCAATGATATTGTTTTCTACACCGTATCAATTTCAAGGGTAGACATGCCACTAGTCCTGTATTTGGAGGCTTGTATACTGACTGACTGAGTGAGTTTGGTTTTACGCCGCTTTTAGCAATATTCCAGCAACATCACGGCGAGGGACACCAGAAATGGGCTTCAAACATTGTGCCCATGTGGGGATTCGAACCCGGGTCTTCGGTGTGACGAGCTAACGCTTTAACCAATAGGCTACCCCACCGCCCCGGAGGTTTGTATAAATCTGGACAGCTAGTGGTACTAGTTATTTCACATAAACCACCAGTACAAAATAAACTGTGGATTTTTAGAGAAATGATCAATGTGTTTAATCCAAGGAAATTGCTTTTGGAAATGAACAAAACCACAGGTAAACAGTGACCCGACATGTTTACAGTTTCTACTGATGGACAAGCAGGTCATAACACAAGGTAGTCACCTGGCCGTTAGTGTTGGGAATTGGTTAAAATCTCAAAATGGATGATTGCTTCATTACAACCGACCAATCATCGAAAATAATTGGTTAGCGTCATTTATGAATTTTTCCAGGTTATTTTTGTTAATGCACAAAAACATAAAGAAAAAACATGAAGTTCTTTGGTTGTTGTTTTTTGGCAAATTTCACATCTTGAAAGGATGACTAATATGTTAGGAACATAACTTTCTTGGGTTTTTTAAAATATATTCAATCATGACTTGGAACGAGCTTGTAGTGCTCATGAAATGTAACTGATAAAACCAACCTTGTGAAAAATATTGTTAATGCAAAAAGTGTTCCAGAATTGCTTGTGTTCGATTATGAGAAAACATGATCGATTGCTTGGTCGTTTAGTCACTGCGACCAATCTTCGATTGTTTCAATTAATCGACCACCAATACTGGCCGTAATAGCTTATCCATTAAGTAAGTGAAAGAAAAATAATCAGTAACATATTTTCTGATAGACGGGATGTGCCCGAGACGGATCATTATTTCGACGGACTAACGTTAACGCCACGAGTACACTTACATGATCTACGAAGTCTGAGACCATCTTGGTTGCATCCTTGGCTTGTTCCGACTTTGGTCCATGTTTATCAGCCACGTTCCGGAGACCGTAGATGGTGAAGGAGAAGAGATCTGGCGTCTTGTTCTTCACCAGCTTGGGGTTCTCTGACATCTGTGGAGCCAAGAAATTCAGGATTAGAACTAACAGGGAAACATACATACACCACTATAAGGAGCTGAGTCATGTTTTGACTTGTAATTTTTACTCTGCTTGAGTGTTTTAAGAGGCCGTCTTCTGCTTTAGCTTTGGCCTGGTTGTTGTTGAACGCCCCACTCAGCAATGTTCCAGCTATATGACGGCGGTCCTTAAATAATCGAGTCTGGACCAGACAATCCAGTGAACAGCAGCATGAGCATTGTTCTACGCATATGGGATATGATGACGTGTCAACCCAGTCAGAGAGCCTGACCACCCGATCCTGTTAGTTGCTTCTTACGACAAGCATGGGTTGCTGAAGATCAAATCTAACCCTTCGCGGGTCTTCTTTAGCAGATCTGACTGACTTGCATCTCTCTGGGACCAAGAATCCCAACAGAGGAACTATTTCTGTCGAACCTGTAGTGATTTGATACATTTCATCATCTTAGCCCTCAGGGCCATCTCGTTCTCCACCCAACCTAAACCACCCCAAGAATACAACAATGACACAATCATATCAGAGACACCAAGAAAACACTCACAGTCTTCATAACGTCAGCAATCATCTGCATCTCACTCATCAAGGACAGGTCAGAGTTCACGGTCATGTTCAATGATCCAGACGACAGTTTATGGATGATGGAGTCTGAGTCCAGGAGACGGTCGCTGAGTTTGCGGATGGAATTTGGCAGCTTCCTAAACAGCTGCTCCTCCGTCTTCAAGTCAAACATCTGTGTTGGGAAGGAAGGAGACACAATCAATGAATGTATAAGGGAGAAATGTGGCCATACAACATTATTCCATGGTATGACACCAATCTACAAAGTAAGCTAGTCCTTGGTTCTAATTTGTAGGGGTCAAAGGCATTTGGGGGTTCCAAGGTGTCCACCATGAAAACAGCAAGTAGAATACAACGTACCGGTGCTGCCAAACCATGCCAAAATCATACGAGTTTAGTATCCGAAACATGGCTCTCAATATCATTTTAGCATAAACATTATTTAGTGTTATTAAGTGGGTGCCGTTGTACAGAACAACCTAAGCGCTAAGACTGTCGTAAGTGTTTGCTAAGGTGTGGGAGTTACGCTCACCTTAGCACTATGATTGTTTTATACAATGGAACCACCATCAGCTATGTTTAGTGGACCAAACAGATTTTTACTAGACATGGACTTAGGACTAGCGGTTAAGTCATATACTGTGATCTTTTATGCTTATTATAGACAGACATTTACTTCAAACCTGATTGAGTGACAAAATATTTTACAAGGGACAGTCCCAAAATTAATCATGAAAATCAAGGAAGACCAGACGAGAGATGCAGGTTCTCTTGATTCAAGCACTACGGGAACAAACCCCTACAAATGTGTAAACTGGTCTTACATTGTTGTCTGCGTGTAGATCAAGCATGAGCGGGCTCTGCTCCAGGAACATGCCCTGCAAGGAGTTCATCACTCCCTCCACGTCCGGAAACGCCACATCCTGAAGCAGTCAAAGCGGAGTGAGCATACTGGCAACTCTGGGAAGTAGGTTAAACCCAAACATACAGGTTAAACGATACTACAAGTACAATACATGGAATCTGTGTTTGCTAGAGGCAACCATGCTACCACAAAGCTGGATACAGAAAGTTGACTGTTATGTAACAGGGTGTTCTACAATATTCAAGAGTATGAGGACAGTCTGTAAAGTATACATAATTGAAGTGAGGTGAGGTGAGGTGAGGTGAGGTGAGGTGAGGTGGGGTGAGGTGGAATTGGGTTTAACGTGGTGATTGAGAATATGACGACGTGCATGCGTGTGTATGTGTATGTGTGGCTGCTTGTACTAGCCCAGACTTAAGCTGGTTTTATAGTGGTCCGAGCCGACCAGTCCTTGTTGTACCCATAAATGCTGAGCGTCAGACAGGGACCAACAAGTACCATATTTTAACGTCTTTTGGTATGACGCGGTCGGGGATCGAACCCGCGACCTTCCGCTCTCCGGGCGGCAAAGGAGTACAGAAAAGTCCTATGTGACTCAGGTTATATTCTCAATACTACTCATAAAAATCTCATCATAATCGCAAAATGAGAAGTGGTGATTCAATCCACATAACATTGATAAGGGAGACAACTCACCACGGTCTGTCGGTGGTCTTGTGTGTGCTTAGTACAATAATGTACATATCATTACATGAGTATACCCCTATGATATGGATGTTTAAATGGGCTGTACATATGAAACCTGACAGCATTGTTGACTTACATCATTGACAGGGAACTTGGCCAGTTTCTTGAGGGGCAGAGGCTGGTCAGGGTGGGTGACAATCGTCATGAGAACATTGGCCTTTGGCCTCTTGAACAGTGAGCCCTGTACCATCCCCTTCCATCCCAGGTCCTGAAATAGATGCAAGAAGACTTCAGATTGCTATTACCATGGCTACCAAACTCGCCTCACTCCAAATGAATTGCAGGAACTTGGCTCGTAACCTTTGTATCATTAGTGAAGAAAAATGGATGAAAATACACAATGCCATTTTAGAAAGTGGTCAAATGTAACATATTTGTAACTTATGTTACATTTGACCACTTTTTAAAATGGCATTGTGTATTTTCATAGCTTTCGGCCATGGGCACCGTGCCAATTAACACTTATCAGAGGGGTACACAAAGTCCGCAGTCTAGACTACCAGTTGTCCGACTTCCATTTTTGTGGAAGCCGCAGTAGCTGAGCGGTCTAGGCGTCTGACTTTGTGTGCTGGAAGATTAGGTGCCTGACTTTGAGGGTGTGGGTTTGAATCCCGGATGGGACTCAACCCCAGAAAAGTACCAGAATCTGTACTTTACTAAGAAAGTGTAATCCCAAATATAGCATGTCTTACAAGCAAAATGGAGTTTAACATAATGTCCAACAATATGACATAAACAGTGATGTGCACACACTCAGGTGAGTGTCTGTGTGTGGTTTTGTGGCTGTTTGTACTGGCCCACTTGTATCACTTGTATAGTGCTAACCTGCTGATATACCCTGCCACAGCTTAACATGGATCCCCTATTCACACTGACTGACTATGGTTTTACGCCGTTTTTAAGCAATATTCCAGTAATATCGCGGCAGGGGACACCAGAAATGGGCTTCACAAATTGTACCCATGTTGGGAATCAAACCCGGGTCTTCGGCATGACTAGCGAACACTTTAACCACAAGGCTACCCCACCGCCCCTATTCAGAAACTGAACACCAACTCTGAGCCAATCATTCCGTGTTTTATCCCCTTAACACCGACTGCAAGGCAGAGCAACAACAAGTACAATCTTATTCATGGTTTTGGAGATAAGACCAAGTCTGAACCACTGGCTTTAACTTCCTGATTAATGCTCTCTCAAAACATGACAGAAATTTCCAAAGGTGTCAAGGGAACATGCTAATACCCCACTTCTACAGTTCTGTATATACAGCTGAATAGTGTAATATAGTTTGTTGTTTATATTTGATCTGTTATATGAGAAACGATAAGAAAGACTGCAAGTTGCCAAGTTCAGGTGCTGAAATAGACAATCTGAACCTCCCAATATACCATGTAATGTCAAATTTATTGAGTTTTTACAAAACTTTAAGCGTACTTGTACGCAATAGACTTAAAAGGAATTGAGTTTTCACATTTATAATTATTTGCGTAATGTACGCAGATACGCAGCGTATCTGTACCTCTGAATTCAGATATAGCATGTATAGGAAGACAATGAGTAGCCATGCTCATGCCTGTCCTGTACTTACTGATTCTGTCTTCAAACCAAGAGTGTGAGCGAGGACTTTGGGCACCTCACTGGTGTGCAGTTGATCTGCTTGTTGCTGGAATGACACATAACTCGGGGCGTGTGTGATCACCAGCTCCTGGCCAGCCAGACACACACTCAACACAGCTGAAATACATAACAGGGACATGATAAGTGGACAAAGATTGGTGGGTTGGAGGGACACTACAACATGTGCTGACCTGGCACATACTAGTTCTTGTATTTACCTATTCACATTAAGCTTGCTGATTTCTGATTGTGAGTTCATTTAAATGGTCAACTGAGCCATTTTTGCATGCAAAATCTACCAATATTTCTGCTTGTCCATACCTTAATAGATGAATAGCATAAATTATTAAATATTTCTTATTTCGGGACACGTATTAGTATTTTGTCTTAGACAGGCCTGTAAGAAACTGGTTCACCTCTTACTTTCCAGCACTGTGTTAAAACCCTTGCTAACAGATTCAGCACAACCCTGTCTGTGTAGACAAGTAATTCCACAGCAAGGTTACCAAGTTGTCACGACATGTGTATAACTAGAATCACTCAACTGCTATTAACTGGAGAAGATTAACTCTTATTATTAGTCTTAAGCATGTTAACCCTTTTGTACATGCACTGTCAGCTACTCTTGACGAATGGAGCAATTTTGCCACTCTTTATAAAAAACCCAGTTGTTTATACACAGAAGATCTAATCCATGTCAGGTGATGGTTATACAAGTCTTTCATAAACATGATAAAGTTATATAAATCAAGATTTGAGTTAAACTACAGGGAAGAAGGTCTATGGTTAGCTAATTAAGTAATGATCTACGTCAACGATATATTGCCTAGAAATATTACGAATATCCTACTATGACAAAATTAAATATACTCATGTCGTCTAACCAAACATCTGTTGTTAGAAATTTAGCCAGTTTTATTTACCATGCCTCGCAGCTTAGACATGCTGTTGTAAAGTAAACTACCTCATACCTCATGTACATCTCTGTAACACATATATACATGTATGTACATACTTATGTGTAATGGACCAATTAATGTTGTACCTGGGGCCTGTTGGCCCACATTTGTAATGAAATAACGAACAAATAGAAGTAATAATCAATGTTGAATGCATCTCTAAATCTAACCTGCTAACATACTGTAACCTGGTGTAAGAAGGTTCTGTGAAATTGTGTTAAAATACAATCATTTCTTACCATACATTACATGGACATTTCACACAGTAATACAAAATACGCTATTTAACACCTAATATTAATAAATGTAATCACTGATCCATCTCCAAACTTATTTAATTATACAATGAGCCACGTTTTCAGCACATAATACCATATGCCACTGAGTAGTGTGTTCAGGAATTCAAGATAATTAGATAATCCATACATCACATTATAAAATATTGCCAGTAAATTTATTCCGACAGAATACTGATACTATCAGTGATAAATCATAGAGGGTAAGTCCTTGTATCATCATGATACTTGATCTTTCCGAAAGGAATTTAACAAAAACTGGTGTTTATATTTTAATCTAGATACACCATAAATATCATCTCAAGTAAACTCAAGTAAACAGATGCTAACAACAAACTAGTAAGAGATCCTTTACGGTATTGAAAATTAAGAAAGGTTTACAATCTTCATATCGACTTGGAAGATAGACAAAGTGAGACATACTAGTCACTACATGACCGTGTGATCCGTGTAAACAGTGACATGGTCATATCCGTGTGATCATGTGTGCAGATTTTGTGACGGCTGGCCACACCAATATAAAACAGTTCTGTTTGAGTACAACAGTGAAATATTCGAAGATAAAATGGTATAAATGGTGGTATAGTGAGATATCAACCTTTCCGTAATGTTATGAAAACATTTTAACATAAAATCAGCTTACCACTGAATACTAAAACACTGAACCGGGTCATTACGGACGTCCTCCACAGCTTCAATGTCGCCATTTTCGTTGATCATGTGATTATCAAAGGGAGGTAATCTGGTAACAAACCATGATATGCTGCCCCGTAAAAATATAACTGTGACTCTGTGTTTGACGGTTATTAAAGATTATGATACATATATCTAGTTCTTCACTTTGAATTTATGAATTTAGTTAAGTATTACACATAAGTTATAAGCGATGGGATTCTTGGCCTTTTTTAATTGGGAATCGCTACTGGATGAAAAAAACTGATGTTCCGTTTTCCAGCTGTGCTCTTACATACCAGCAGTCCTTAGACCCGGAAGTATTTGACCTATTTACATCATAGCTGGAGGTAAAGCGCGTCAGACCTGTTAATTTTGCCGGAGGAGGACATGACACTTATTTACCTGTCGTTATATCAGATATTAAGTATATTTATAATTGAATGTTCAGTAGTCCACATAGACTAAGGCTTAGTCTCTGAATATATATAATTTTGATAGTAACAAACAAGCCCATTTATATTGAAAAGGAGCCCCAGGGAGACCAGAGATTCAGAACCTGAGGAAATCTAGACTTGCTTCATTTAGGGCTTTAGCACTGCAGAGAGGGCTTGGCAGTAGGGAAATTAATGTGGTTCAGGGACTGTGAGACAGACTATAGTCCACATTGCTCTCTCTCTTTCTCTCTCTGTGTGTCTCTCTCCGTCTCTCTGTGTCATTGTCTTTCTGTCTCTCTCTTTCTTCTCTCTCCCTCTGTGTCAGACCGCCGCCATATTGCTGGAATATTGCTGAGTGCGGTGTAAAACTAAGCTCACTCACTCAGTCATTCACTCACTCTCTGTGTCATTGTCTCTCTCTCTCTCTCTCTGTCACTCTTTCCCTTCGCTCTCTCTGTGTGTCTCTGTCTCACTCTCTCTGTCATTGTCTCTCTGTCTCCCTCTTTCTTTCTCTCTCTCTGTGGCTCTCTCTGTGTGTCATGACCCGTTCAGACGAAGATACGGGGTCGAATAAGGTCTTCAGCAACCCATGCTTGCCACAAAAGGCAACTGTGCTTGTCGTAAGAGGCGACTAATGGGATCGGGTGGTCAGGCTCGCTGACTTGGTTGACACATGTCATCGGTTCCCAATTGCGCAGATCGATGCTCATGCTGTTGATTACTGGATTGTCTGGTCCAGACTCGATTATTTACAGACTTTCGTTGCATTAAGAATCCGCTAGAAACACCGACTGACTTCAATACACACCCTGACCTCTCTCTTTGTCTCTTTCTCACCGTCTCTCTCATTACTAGTGATGTTTTAAAAGTGTATAATGCAATCCTAATACTGAGAAGTGCATATCTGTCTAGGAAGTAGGGGAGATGTGGCGCCCGGTGACCTCATCCTAATGACAAACTGGCGTCCGAAATAGTCACATCCGCACGTGATCTTATTAGGGATCACCCGTTTCATTTCAAGAGAAGAGGGAAGGGGAGCGTTTTTAATGTTTGTTCAGAAATATCCCCTGAATGAATACATGTATTTTATTGGCAGTTAGTTTGTTGAAAATACCCAGATATCACACATTTTGAATTAATAATGAAAATGAATAGATCATATCCCCCATCCCTCTTCGTTTCTTCTTCACAGTTTGTTCATGGTAATTGGTTAAACATGTCTTATATCAGGGGATATTTTCCTTAATGCAGCGTTCAACAATAAAACACCAAAAGATTCTGATTATTTTTTATGACGTGTATGCCTTATGGTGAAAGGTTTTCCCCATCAGGCCCGGGTTCGATTCCCATATGTGTTCAATGTGTGGAACGCGTTTCTGGTGTGCCCCGCCGTAATATACAATGTAGCTTGTATACTGCTAAAAGCGTATTGAGACAATATATGCAATATAGGCCTTGATTTCGTGTAATTTACAATTGACAGAGGTTTCGTAAAATCTTCCAACTGTTCCTGGTCGCAGGCACCTTTCTGATATCGTTGTATGTTTATATAGTTTGATATCGTTGTGGAGTTCACACCAATGCCAGAGTAAGATATCAAAGGCATGGGGAAAGCCAACGGGTGCATGTATTTAGATGTGGTCGTTTGAGCCACATTAGAGAGCCGTACAACATAGCAAACAAGTACAAGATATGTTAAAAGAAGTCGTCTTTGAAAATTTCGTCTGTGTACGTTGTATTATCGATGAGCAATTCATGTTGTCAACGAATTCGTAGCCATCTTCTATTTTCTAAACATATGATGATTACAAACTGATATTCTTATAAACTGATATTCTTAATGCATTTTTCCATGTGTGCGTTTATGTGATTTCAATCAGATACATTTCGTCTCAGTACGTTAAGGGGCGGTGGGGTAGCTTTGTGGTTAAAGCGTTCGCTCGTCACGCCGAAGACCCGGGTTCGATTCTCCACATGGGTACAATGTATGAAGGCCATTTGTGGTGTCCCCCGCAGTGATATTGCTGTCATCTAAAGGCGGCTTAAAACTTAACCCAGTCACTCTACGAACTTCAGGAAACGGACGTAAAATACGCCACTCTGACTTATTTATGCTTCAGAAAGGGAGTCTTCAAAAAGCATTGTGATTAATCAGCGACTCTGAATGCCCTATTGCACTCACCAATGGCTTCGGATATAAAGGCTGCAAATTCGATCCACTTAAATACGCATACACACAAATTAATTTCCATTTGATTTTTCGTCATTCTGCTCATTTCCCCGTGTGTATTTTAAAGTATATCTCAAGCGAGGGAAGACGTATATTTTTAGTCCTTGTTACACGATATAAAATACTTGAGATGCTATAACATCCCCGACTGGAGAATAAACGAGCGATAGGAAATAAGTTATAAGAAATAATTACAATTTTAATATCCCTGTCATCGACCGTTTTTCAAATCAGTCTTATAATTGTAACACATTTGTCCACCCGTAGACAAATTTTGATATTCTAAATCTCTGCAAAATTTACTAATCTGACACGGTGATCTACCTTCAGCTGCTGGCGATCTGTAGTCCAATTTTATAGCGTTGTGCATAGAAATATCTTCTTATGGTTACCGGCTAGCAGAGCGCCTCCGCTGTGTAGTGGTTTGAGCGTCCGCCCGGAGAGCGGAAGGTTGCGGGTTCGATCCCCGACCGCGTCATAACCAAAAGATGTTAAAATATGGTACTTGTTGGCCCCTGCCTGGCGCTCGGCATTAATGGGTACAACAAAGACTGGTCGGCTCGGAGTCAGTATAGTGTCTGAGTGGGGTATTCATGCTTCACTGCGGCGTGGTATCTCAGTGGACTAGCACTATAAAACCAGCTTAAGTCTGGGCTAGTACAAGCAGCCGCACATACACATACACACGCATGCACGTCTTCATATGAGCGAAATATTCTCAAGCACGACGTTAAACCCAATTTCACCTCACCTCACCGGCTAGCATTAAATATCAATGTATGATAGCCTAGGTATTTAACTGTGCTCTGTCGACAGGTATTTATATAATCTAAGTTTGTTTCTATTAATCTATAACTTTCATAATCACGACATGGCTGAAATAATGCCGACGTGTCTTAAAATTCTAACTCACTCACTGTAACATACCAAGCATTGTAACGGACGGAGATACGTCATTATAGGCGCTTCCGATGTGTGTGTCGTGCTTGAGAATATTTCGCTCATATGACGACGTGCACGCGTGTGTATGTGTATGTGTGGCTGCTTGTACTAGCCCAGACTGAAGCTGGTTTTATAGTGCTAGCCCATTGAGATACCATGCCGCAGTGAAGCATGAATACCCCACTCAGACACATTATACTGACTCCGAGCCGACCAGTCCTTGTTGTACCCATTAATGCCGAGCGCCAGGCAGGGACCAACAAGTACCATATTTTAACCTCATTTGGTATGACGCGGTCGAGGATCGAACCCGCGACCTTCCGCTCTCCGGGCGGACGCTGCAGGTGGGGAATCGAACCCTGAACTTTGCCGCTTCGAGCAAACGCTTAAACCGCATGGCTACCCAGCGTCCTTTCAAGTTTAAACGATTACTATGCTTTTCATAAAACTGATGAAAGCAATGGCGGATGCTGTGCTCATCTACACCCCTACCCCGTACAGAACAAATCAACAACCTCCACAACACCCCCTTCCCCCCAAAATAAATAATAAATAAGATAAAACCAACAATACGAAATAAAGAGCCATCATAATCGAGATGAATCTTGGATTGGAACCCGTAACCAGCGTTAACATGGTAATTGCAATACATAATAAAGACAAACTATATATGCATATGAATTTATTACTGACCAGAACACAGGAAATGCAGACAAAGACAAGGTCACGATGACACAAGGGAAACACTTCGATGGTGTTGACGTCAGTGGTGTTGACGGTTCTAGTTCGGATGTACATGCTAAGCCTACGGATACGCCAAGGATCAAGAAGACGTTCACGTTGACGTAGTTCCAACAATCTCTTGTTGTGTCTCTAACATCATCGTCACTGGATGCATCATGTTAATTCCTGGGGGTATTTGTTGGAAGGAACAGTTTATTTTGTAAAGTCAACTATCACAGTATTGACAACTTTACTTGACCCCAATGCTTGTATAGCATTGCATTCCCACGAGCAAAAAAAAATTGTGATCACATTAAGTTTTGAATGTCAAAAGAACAATATTGATGTATAAAAGTGTGGATTTGACTTTCCACAGTTCCAATATTTCAATAACCTGAAAATCGGTCTGGTCTGGTTTCAGGCCAAATGGTGCCATACGACTAACAAGAATAGAGTTTGAATTTGGGCATAAATTCTAATATATCAAAACAACGATCTTCTGACCTTCAGGCCTCAACTTTAAGAATGTTCATGAGTATGCTATTCACCTAGAAACACATCATATTTAGGACTTGTTGAATACTTTACTGAATAGACTTCAAGTACATTCCTTGACATCTAAACGCACGTGGGATCGTCTAGGGTCTACCTCTGAGCCTGCCTGAGACAGTTGTCACGAATACTGTATCTGGAACAATATCCCATACGAATCTGAAGTTCTGAATTATATAATTATATTTGAGTATATTTAGTATCAAATACACGTGTATTATAGACATAAACAACAGGAATGAGCCACTGATATGGTTTAGCGTCGCTATGAGCGAGTGAGTGAGTATGGTTTTACGCCGTTTTAGCAATATTCCAGCAATATCACTGCGGGGGACACCGGAAATCGGCTTCACATATTGTATCCATACAGGGGAATCGAACCCGGGTCTTCGGCGTGACGAGCGAACGCTTTAACCACTAGGCTACCCCAACGTCGCTTTGAACAGTACTCAATGAACATGTATTTCATTATCGCGGGGAAGGCCGAAAAGATGCAGGTTTCATATATGTATTGCCACCACGAGCTTGGGAATGGTGTTGATAAGCTTAAACCATAACGTAACACATGTAATATTTGGGATAACTCTTTCTCAGTAAAGTACAGATGCTAGTACTTTTGTTGAGTTGAGTTCCAACTGGGATTCGAACACACAATCTCAGAGCCTGATCGCCAGCACCTATGGTAGCCGCGGTGGCTGAATGGGTTAGACGAAGTGAAAAGATAATGTTTACTACTGTTGTATTAGTGATATACAGGTTTAGTAAGTACTAACATGAATGGCACATCGCTAAAGAGAAAATACTACAGTGAAACCCCGTTTATCCGGCCTGTCGCTGAGACCGTGATTTTCTCAGTAAGGGGATTTACTACCCAACCTGGGTAAACGGGTTTCACTGTACATCATAGACAGACATGACGTTCAAGCCTTGTTTACTGGAAATGTATTTTTGAAAAATCTTTTGTATTCATTTAAGAAGCAACCTCATGTATTTGTGACTTAGATGTGATTAAACCGGGTGGCCAAGGGACACAACTCCGTGCAGAAACATGCTACCATAATTGATGTTCTTCTGAACGTCCCGTTGAATATAGTATGACCAGAAATTATTGAGAATTTTAGGAATATGTTTAATTGGATTTCTAGTATAAACAACCTTGACCAGCTATCAGGTGCTTGGTTTCATTCAAGAGAGACAACTCCGTTAATCCTTTTTCATTAGTTTGTGAAGAGTTATCCCCCCTTTGTTTACTTGCTAGCAGACGACATTTTCAGTGATCCTCAGAATGGATGATTTAGAGAAGAGGAAGTTGATTTTAGAGTATTATAACAAGGACATCAGATCAGCTTAAGTGATTTCATGTAGAACAGGCACTCCTTTGTCCACTGTTTATCGTGTTTTGAAAAATATAGCAAATGGATATGGCATTGAGCACCAGGGTATCGAGAAATGAGTGAAATTGTTTTTTTAAAAATTTAAAATTCTCAATAATTTCTGGTTGTACTGTATAAATATACGTCACTTTTTAACCAAATCTGTCTTTACTTACCAAACCTCCTGATTTATCTAAGAGTATTTTCTCAAATATGATGTTAAATACACAACACAAAACAATACAAAAACACAACAACATTAATATAATGTAGATTTCTCTGTAACAGTCTACATAAATATTGTCTTCAAGAAGGAATACTCTTTCGTGACTCATTGTAAAGAACACAAAACAATGTTGTTTATAACAGTTTTCTTATTTGTTATTAAAAACAAATACATATAAACGAATATATACTCTCTATGTAATAATGTTCTATGCCAGAACAGACTTCCGCGGTATTGAACAATTATGTTGAGATTCTTGTTTATAAATTAGACTTAATCAGAAGAAAACCATCAATGCCAAATGTGATGCTAATAACGCTTGTTTCATATCATCACGATATCCAGGGCCCCGTTCCACAAAGCGATCGTAGCGCTAAGATGATCGCAACTCCCATACTTTAACATGGACTTACGACTGTCGTAGCGCTACGATCGCTTTGAGGAACGGGGCCCTGATCGTGAATCACAATGTGACAAAAGAGGTTCCCTAAATGGAATCTATAACCAATGACACATACTGAAGAAATGTTCCGTCATCGGAACGTGTTAAATAAATATATGATGACGATGATGATGATGATACTGTACACTTAGTTTCAATGAGAAACATGTGGGTGATTATTTACATATCAACATAAGACCAGCAGCTGACTATTTACATATCAACATGGGTATAGATATTCTGTGTCTTGACCTCACGCTGGACTCCTTCCTGGCTGTGCGCATAACAGTCGACAATGAAAGTATGACCCGGATGGAGAATGTCTATATCGAGAGTGTGACCCGGAAGTAGAATGTCTCATCGAGGGCAGGACCATGACTCAGGTCGCCGAGGTGGCTGTGAATGACGAAGCACTTAGTGATCAAGGTCCTGTTCCACTGGTCGTTTCAATGTCTGGCAAGATAAATCTGTGGAAGTTTACTGTCGTCTACTCGTGATCACGCTATGCCTTCAACGAGTCTTTTGTACACACGTCCTTTCCATCGTTTGTCTCCACCGCCAGTGTTGGTTATATGGTTAGTGAAAGCATAGATTGTGTGTCTCTGATCTGTACCACGATGTCAAACATGTGTGCGTTCAAGCTTGTTCTATTACTGTATAATCAACACATTTTCTGTAAGAGGAACATCATGGCTCCCTTCTTATAAACAAACGCGGTGTTTTTTCTGGACATTAAGCTTTTGAAATCTCCCAAGTCCAAAAATACCCTTTCTAAGTCACACCGCGTTTGTTCTTTGTGGAGATTTTTTTGATTGACGTGTGAGCGTGAAAACGACTTTATGACTCAGTCTTCTTGGTACTGGTTAAACCACCCGACGGGTAGTGGTCAGGTCTCTGGTACACTTCAACACAGTTCGAGAGAATTGTCGAGTAGCGGTCATACATAGAAGCCCTGTGCCTCAGTCTGTGGGTTCCCTGCCTTGGCGTCTATATAATAAGCAGGCGAGTTGTACGGTTGGGAATTGTTTGTATACACACCGCGGGAATGTGGATGATCCTTGTGGACCAGAGAGTGTTGCTTGTCACTTTGAGAGTTTCTATTCTCAGCAGGAGATGGAGAGTTAAGTGTCTTGCTTTGAATTGAATTATTCAAGTCATTGTGTCTTTGCTCTTGTTCCTTAAATGAGGAACAGACCCGTGGATCTCGTTCCTTGAAAGACCAGTTCACATCCGTGTCCTTAAAGGAGTTCTTTGGATCCCGTTCCTTGAATGAAGAGCAGTTTCTCGGTTCTCCACCTTTGAAGGAGCTTAACTGTCCCCTTTCCTGAAAGGAAGTTCTTTGAGCTTGCTCCTTGAAAGAAGAACAGTTCCTCAATTCTGCTTCCTTGAAACAGTTCCTCTGTACCTGTTCTTTGAAGGAGGGTGTCCTGTCCTGGTGTGTCTCTTTGTTGCTGAAGACACTACTGGATGAGGAAGAGACACTCATCTGACCATGTGACCGGTCAAGAGAAGAGTCCAGCGTGGTCAGTCTTGAGAAGGACTTATCCAATGACGTATTAGGCGAGGAACCTGTCACCTCCAGCACGATGGAGTTACCATCGTGGTCGGTCGTCTCCCAGCGGTTGTCACACAGAGGACGACATATGTTGGGGAAGAGGGGGACAATGTGTCCAACTTCAGCGACTTTGAACTGCAACGTGACCGACTGGAGGATCTTTGGGGACGTGGTGGACGGTAGACGCTTCAGGGCGAACTGAACGTTGTAGTGTATCTGGGCATGGATCGTGAAGAGACAGAAGTCTGTTCTTGTCAGCTCAGGGTCAGCTCCCAGAATGAGTTTGTAAAAGTCAAGCATGTCATCCCAGTTTTCATCACTCGCGTACACAACCAACCGGATGTGCTCCTTCCCATAATGCACTTGTCTCACCGCCCACAATGGCAGATCGGATGACGTGTAGTAAAATTCTTGTGAATTATAGGGATACGGATTTATCTTTCCTTTCACTAGCTGCTCGGAATGATGAAATTTCCATGGCGGTTTTTCAAAATGTCGCCTGGCTGATTGAATCCGTTCACACCCAAGCATACCTTCTTCATGCAGGAACACAATTATCGCGAGACTGGACACGTGCTCTGAGAGTGTTTCTTCGCGAACAGTATTGGAACTTCTTTCTCTGATTTTGAAGAGCTGAAGGTCGGAGTCTATCCAACTCAGGACCGGCTGGTAGAGGTCAAGCAGGGGAATGACCTCATGGGTGTCCGCATAGAACTGGACGGTCAACTTGGTGGGGTCGTTCTGGAGCAGTGAGTCCGAGTCGGAACCAGACAGACTAACACTTTCACTCTCCGCGTCAGACCGGCTTGAGCTCATCGAAGACACGCTGCTTCCTGCAAACAGAAATACATCTGTGAATATGTGAGTGAGTGAGTTTAGTTTTACGCCGCACTCAGCAATATTCCAGCTATATGGAGGCGGTCTGTAAATAATCGAGTCAGGACGAGACAATCCAGTGATCAACAGCATGAACATCGATCTGCGCAATTAGGAACCGATGACATGTCTCAACCAAGTCAGCGAGCCTGACCACCCGATCCCGTTAGTCGCCTCTTACGACAAGCATAGTCGCCTTTTGTGGCAAGCATGGGTTGCTGAAGACCTATTCGACCCCGGATCTTCACGGGTCGTGAATATGTGACACAATGTGCAATAGCGAGTTAAAGACAGTCTGTCTATAATCAGGCCTCACAATTTCGAAAAGCCAGTGGTTGATAGTATGAGCTAGGTTCTCATAATAGCGACATACATGGGACTTTCTCCAAATTAATTACCATTAAAAATAACTACAAATACAAATTGCCCCACGGCATATACAGTAATTAGGTTTCACTTGGGTGAGGATAGTTTTATGTCGCTTAAAGCAACATTCCTTCTCTTGATCGGTTGAGGACACCAAAACACGTTTCTATCGTCTTCATCCCGAGCTATAGCGGCTTTATACTCCTATTGGCGTAAAACTATATTCACTCACCCATTGGTAGACTCACATGCCTACCTACAATACTGCCAAAGTCTCCTCCTTACAATAAATAAGTTATGCGCAATACGTGTCTTATCTTTTAATGGACTGTTGTGGTATAAAAGGTTTAAATTCCATATCATACTTTATCGAATGTACGTTCATGAATGACATGCGTATCTACTTTAGGGATATACATTAACTTGGTAAATACTACAAATAGTTAGGTCAAGTATCGCTTAATACCCAACATCAAGTACATGCTTGAAGTTCCGCTCTTATGCATGAAGAAATATGAATTATTAAACATTATTACACTTCCGAAGTCCAATATCATAAACATATAAGGAACTTATGTTCTTAAATCTGAAATGCACTTTTAACATTACCTGTTGGTCCTAAAAGGAAATCCCATATGTCGAACCATTAGAAAGGAAGCAGGATTTATCTACAGCGATCAAGATGCCTTTTAGAATCACATGAAGTTTTATTTGAATGACATTTCAGAAAAAGGTTCGCTGCACAAAATGGGGTCACCTCCAGGATATATCAAGTCAGTTAAAGACAAACGAGTTTTTCAGCATTGACAACATTGAGGTATAGCATGAGTTGACTGATCTAACAGGAGGTCGTGGCAACCAGGTGTTTATCTGGCAAGCAGGAAGAGATCACATTTGATTACGCCTTTGCAAAAATAGATTTTAAAAATAAACGAATCCTAAAATAGTAACCATGGGATAAATAGAGGTCGCGATTATTGTTATACGTCATTTCCGCTTGATTGGGTTCCGGGATTGGAATTGGGTCTCCAGCAACTTGTGTTTAATGAATCGGGTATTCAGGCTTTCTTGATTGGTTGATGGTGCAAGACCTGATCTTGTCGTACAATGTGACTTCATGACTAGCGGGATGTGACTTTGTGAATTGGTTGATTGTGGAAGACCTGTGCTTGTGTTGGAGGCAAGTTGATGAAAGAGTGGTTGTTTGCACGCGATCTATGTCTTGGAGCCGACTTAAAGAAAGTGTGGTTGGACTCGGTCACTTGGTTGGGTGCGTGTCATCTTACGCCGTAGGACGTAGCTCATAATATTAATCACTGGTTTGTCTGCTACAGACTGTCATCGTATAGCTGGACTGAGGCGTTATGCAACAACAACAGCAGCAGCAACATCACCAACAACAAACTGAATAAAACGTTCAGGTAATCACAGCGAATTGCATAATACAATTATAAGTATATGATGAAGGATAGCAGCTTCATTCCAAGACAGTATATCTTAAGAAAGATTTCAGCTTAAGATGTCATTGCACTACGCATAATCATTTCAATGATACCCCTAAAAGAAAAGAATCTTGAAGACTTTATAAATATTGCATTAATGAAGCCTCAGCCCCCCCCAACAAAAAAAAAATAAAAACATGTTAACGATTAAGTTTATCCTTTTGAGATGACATGCGGGTTATTTCCTGGTTCTGGGATTCCACGTGAATACCCCGAGCCCTGGAATGTACGTACAGGGCGTCAATTGGTCTGGGTAATCAATGCCAAACAATACAAACATGGTAAAGTATGTTGATTGTCTCAGTGACTCCGGCTCCAGCAGTAACGTGTTAGTCGTCTTAGGTCGTGACTTCACTCACAGAATCCCTGTCGTCTAATCAATGTGCCCCTATGTACAGCGCTAATGTGTCAAGAGCTAATTTGCACAAACTGACGACGTTTGTTGTTCGTGTCAACCCCGTTGTGAGGAAGTCGGATGTGGATGACGGAGGAACGAGGAAGATGAGGTGAAGGTGTGGGTGTGAGAATATTATACTCAGAGGCCAGGGGATGAAATGAGAAGCATCTGTACAGTCGATGATCGCAGGTGTGAAAGGTATCGATACACGGAATGTGAAGGTGGGGTGATGTATGGAGAAACTGGATATAAAAATTGAAAACGAGGTGGATAGAGGGATTTTGACGTAGAAATCTGACGGGAAGAATAGAGAAACTGGGCAAGAAAAATATGACGACGAGTTAAAGTATAACGTCTTTGAAGTTGGCGTGATGAACAACGAGGAGCGTCCTATGGGTATAAAAACTTCTTTCTTATCAATATGAGCGACGTTTAAGTGTAGCTAATAATACCGTTATCCAGCAGGTTATTGACAATGCTGCAGGAAAGGCTATTTTACACATGAGTTGAAGAATATATTTGGACGTAAAGATTTGTCGGAAAGTTTCGAGAAACTGGGACAGAGAAATATGACGACGAGTTACAGAATAGAGAGGTGTGGACGGAGAATTTGACGAAATGTGTAGAGAAACTGGGACAGAGAAATATGACGACGGGTTACAGAACAGAGAGGTTTGGACGGAGTATTTGACGAAATGAGTAGAGAAACTGGGACAGAGAAATATGACGACGGGTTACAGAATAGAGAGGTTTGGACGGAGTATTTGACGAAATGAGTAGAGAAACTGGGACAGAGAAATATGACGACGGGTTACAGAATAGAGAGGTTTGGACGGAGTATTTGACGAAATGTGTAGAGAAACTGGGACAGAGAAATATGACGACGGGTTACAGAACAGAGAGGTTTGGACGGAGTATTTGACGAAATGAGTAGAGAAACTGGGACAGAGAAATATGACGACGGGTTACAGAATAGAGAGGTTTGGACGGAGAATTTGACGAAATGTGTAGAGAAACTGGGACAGAGAAATATGACGACGGGTTACAGAACAGAGAGGTTTGGACGGAGTATTTGACGAAATGAGTAGAGAAACTGGGACAGAGAAATATGACGACGGGTTACAGAATAGAGAGGTTTGGACGGAGTATTTGACGAAATGTGTAGAGAAACTGGGACAGAGAAATATACTGAGAGAAACAAATAAAGGATCACACGAAAATTCCAGCATTCCTTTAATACTTTCCTGTTTTCATCACCACAGCTCTATTCAAAACTGGTGATGAAAACAGGAAAATGTTAAAGGAACGCTGGAATTTTCCTGTGATCCTTTATTTGTTTCTCCCAGTATATGACGATCAGTTGAATATTAGAGAGATTTGGATACAGAAATGTGGCGATAAGATGGAGTATAGATAGACTGGGCAAAGAAAAGTGAAGTTGAGGAGATGTATAGACAGACTGGGTCATTAAACTTGGAAAGAATAGAAAGATTTGGGTAGACAAATGTGACGATAAGGTGTATTATAGAGAGAACGGGTCAGGGAAATTGGAAATGAGGTGACGTATTTAGAGTATTGAGAACTATAAGACCAAACGGTGATGTATGGAGGAATTTGTATCGAAGAATGACACGATACGGTGACGTATAGAAGGATTTGGCAATGGAAATGTGACGATATGGTGAAGAGGAGAGAGACTGCCCATAGAAATATGGAGATAAGATGAAGTACAAAGATTGACTGAGTTTGGTTTTACGCCGCTTTTAGCAATATTCCAGCAATATCACGGCGGGGGACACCAGAAATGGGCTTCACACATTGTACCCATGTGGGGATTCGAACCCGGGTCTTCGGCGTGAAGTACAAAGAGAGCCTGGGGCATGTGATGTGATGGGTCAACGAAACGCGACGATGAGATGAGGTCTAGAGAAATTGAGCGAAAACACCATCGAACCTGGGTTCGATCACACAGTCATAGTATTCTGGAGTGTCCAAGGGAGAGAACTCTACACAGTGAACTGCACCACCTCAAGAATACCGCTTCAGTAGAGACATAATTAAACAGCTGGTGAACACGCGCAGTGACCTTGAGGATTCGGTAGTTGTTCGACCCGTGAAGATCCGGGTTAGAAATGATCTTCAGTACCCCATGCTTGTCGTAAGAGGCGACTAACTGGGTCGGGTGGTCAGGTTCGCTGACTTGGTTGACACATGTCATCGGTTCCCAATTGTGCAGATGCTCATGCTGTTAATAACAGGATTGTCTGGTCCAGACCCGATTATTTACAGACCGCCGGTGTATAGTTGGAATATTGCTGAGTGCGGCGCAAAAATAAACGCACTCACTCACTAGAGTCGTTCAAACAATCGTCATTGAAAACAACGGAAGTGATTCCAAGAACCGAATAGGATAGTTAATATCAGAGACTGCGTGGCTAATAAACAGCGACCCGGAAGTAAAATAGGTTGATTTGAACAGAGGCAAACATTTTATGACTAGCACAAATTAAGTAACACATCCACCGAAAGAGACCTTCAGACTTTGTTCCTAGGTTACTGAGCACCGGCATACAACGAGGTCTTAAGTGTGGTGAAGCATGGGAGATACGATCGTCTTAGCGCTGAGGTCGCTTTGTGCAGGCGGGCAATAATGGGCCTTTAATAAATGAACGTTAGACACTCTACTTTGTAA